CAAAGAGAATATTAAAAAAAAATCATAAAAAATAACTCAAAATATATAACGCCATACCAGCCAAATGTCTAACAAAATCCCCCCTTGAGGAAAACACGTTACACCCCGACCCCCCTCGCCCACGTAAACCAAGTCAAAGGAGATTTTACTGCAAAACCCTGTGGGCGTAAACGGACAGTACAAATCAAAACAAAACTGCCTGAGGAGGAATAAATGTACCCACTGTCTGCGAGTTTGGACACACTGCTAAGGAGTGTCGCACCCGCATTGCGCAGGAGAGAGAGGAAAAACTTCCTCCGAAAAAATATCGACTGAGCAGGCACAAAACAACGCTTTAACTTCGTTCAAAGTCTCAGTCGACTCCTTCCTCCTGCTCTCGCCTTACCCCAGCCCTCTGCCGGTAACTGGGCTCCAGGACATCAGACATACACACCACACCCACAACCATTCTACCCCGCTCACGCCCCACCCATACACTCTCCAGCCGCTTAACCCCATTCATACAGCCTGGGGTCATGCCCGGCCGTAAGTCTCGAGACCAAACTGACCATCTATCTGCCAATGTCCGGGGACTTTTAACGAACATCGGGGACCTCGTGAATAGTCACGTGATTCCTCGCACCCCAGACATCGTTGCAACAGTCGAAACATTTATGAACGAATCAGTCCCTGACAACTTTGGGGCACATGAAAGGCTACACAAGGTGGCACCGACGCGACAGGACACACGGAACCTTTGGTGGTGTCGCTGTCTCTTTTCACAAGAGCCTGTCAGTCCAACCACTTGATGTCGATCTTCCAAATCATCTGGAGATTATGTTCTTCAAGATATGGGCTCAACATCAGACAGTCTTGCTGTGTGTATGTTTACGCCCCACAATGGCAGGGTAGTGAGCCCATTGTGTTCCTGCAAACTCACCTTGATGAGCTGTTGCAGCTACACACTTTGCAACCATGTCATCATCGTTGGGGAATTGAACCAACACCTGGTTGCAAGATCCTTCGAAGAACTCCTCACAGTCCATGGCCTCTTCAATCACGTTGATTTTCCCACCCACATTTCCGGCTCATCTCTTGATCCTGTCGTCAGTGACCTGCCGGACAGCGTCGTCACCTGCTCTCCACTCAGTGCCGTGGGATCGTCAGATCACATGGCTATTCTGACTTTGATTCAGATCACACCCCAGAGGGATGCTGCCGTCACACGCACTAACTGGCTGTGGGGCAAAGCAGACTGGAATGGTCTCTGCAACGCACTACAACAAGAGCCCTGGAATAGCATCCTCGTAGGAGACGTCAATAATCAAGTTCACACTTTCACACACACTCTACTCAAGCACCAAGAGCAATACGTCCCCTGCCACTCCTACACTGTCAAGCCCCTCGACCAGCCCTGGTTTGGCTACCAGTGTAGAATGGCAGCTGATGAAAAGAGTCGTGCCTGGCGACTCTACTCACGCTCTTCTACCCACGCTAACAAGGAACGCTATAGACGCGCTTGTGCAGCCATGCGACAAGTTCAGCAATGGGCTCAACGACGCTGGCAAGATCTTAAAGCCAAACTCAGCGGTCGTTCAGTGGGTAGCAAGACCTGGTGGACCACACTCAAGCAGCATCAAGGCCTGGCACCAGATGATGATGTACACCACTACAACACCATGGTACAGTGGCCACCAAAAATAAAGACAAGGCTGAGATACTCGCATCCTTTTTCTCCAAAAAGATGTCAGTACCGACGAGCTCCATATGTGCCAGCCCTCACAAATGCGAGCACTTCTATTTTCACTATCACTACCAAGGAAGTGCGGCAACGTATGTCACAAGTTGCCACTAACAAGGCATTGGGCCCAGACAATATAAGCCTCATATTCTTAAGCGCTGTGCCTCTCAGCTGGCAACGCCCCTTACCACCATTTTCCAGCAATGCATCACCACTGGAGTGTGGCCCACCCTCTGGAAAGGCGCCAGAGTGGTGGCAATCCATAAAAAGGGAAAGAGGACTGATCCCAAGAACTATAGGCCTATCTCTCTTCTCTCAGTTCTTGGTAAAATACTTGAAGCCATCATAGCAGACAAAATATCATACTTTCTTACCTCACACCAGCTCCTCAATAACAAACAGTTTGGCTTCCGAACGAACAGGTCAGCAGCAGACCTGCTACTTCAGTTATCCACCACCTGGCAAAAGTCCCTAGACCAAGGAAAGGACACCTTCATCATTGCTCTCGACATAGCGGGAGCATTTGACAGGGTTTGGCATCGCGGCCTCATCACCAAGCTAAACAGCTTGGGTATCCGCGGTCATCTGCTCCACCTGCTCCAAGACTACCTGCAGGGCAGATTCCTCAGAGTGGTCATGAACGGGCAAACATCTGACGAACATTCCATCCATGCCAGTGTACCACAGGGTAGTGTTCTCGGCCCTCTCCTCTGGAATGTCTTTTTTAACGATTTGCTGCAGCTCATTCCAGAGGCATATGCATACGCCGATGACTGCACCCTGACATTCCCCTGTGACAGTAGTGACCACCGCGCGACAGTCGCACATGTCAACCAGGTCCTACAAACCATCGTCGTGTGGGGGGCGCCGATGGCAAGTGGATCTCGCTCCCGAGAAGACGCAGGTAATGCTGGTCTCCCGAAGACACAGTCCCCTCGACACTCCCATCCCCACTATCTTGCTTGATGGGAGGGCGCTGCCCCTGCAGGCTTCCATCTCCATACTGGGCGTGGAAATGAACAGCGCCCTGACCTTCACTGGCCACGTCAAGACCATAGCCAAGGAGAGCCGCCTGGAAACTTAACTGTGTCCGGCGGATATCACATCTCCTCGATTCCCAGGGAATCTGCACCTTATATGCAGCTCCCTCATGGAGTATGCCCCTCTCACCTGGTCATCCTGTCCCCCTTCATACTTAGGCCTTCTTGACAAGATTCAGCAACGGGCACAACGCTTGATATGTCTGAAGGCCCCGCCAGACCAGTCGTCTCCCCTCATGCAGCCCCTACAGCAACGTCGTGATGTGGCAGGTCTGTGTGTCATCTACAAGACTCACAAGCAGAGCGCCCCGCACCTGACTGCACTCCGCCAGCCCTGGGCTCAACCACACGGCCACGCCACCCGCGCTGCCGCCACCGGGGATGACCAACTCGTCGTCCCTTTCGCCAGGACGGAGACCTTCCTCCGCTCCTTCCTTCCGCGCTACACACGAATGTGGAACCACCTAGTACAGCAGACTCAGCTTCACCGCACCACCTCATTACACACCTTTAAGTCTGCTGTAAATGCTTGGATTAAACAACCATAAAATGTAAATAGATTTGTAAAATACATATACCTGTCTGCGTAATTGGGCATTTGGATATATCTTACTTTCAATTAGTGAATTTTCATGTCAAAGATAGTTTTCAGTAGTCCTACTGAAACTCCTGACTGAGAAATATATATAAAAGAGAACTCAGAGTAAAAAAAAAAAAAAAAAAAAAAGAGAAAGGAGAGAGGAGAGAGAAGAGAGAAAGGAGAAAAGGAAGAGGAGAGAAGAGAGAAAGGAGAGGAGAAAAGAGAGAGAAAGAGGAAGAGGAGAGAGAAAGGAGTGAGAAGAGAGAGAGAAAGGAGTGAGAGGAGAGAGAGAAAGAGAAAGGAGGAGAAAAGAAGAGAGAGAGAGAAGAGAGAGAGAGAGAGAAAGAGAGAGGAGAAGAGAGAGAGAGAGAGAGAGAGATGAGAAGAGAGAGAGAGAGAGAGAGAGAGAGAGAGAGAGAGAGAGAGAGAGAGAAGAGAGAGAG